AAAATAGGTAAATAGATTTATGGGTCAATTAATTTAAATGACCCGAAGGGAGGTAAACCCTCGAGGAGAGTAGAGAGGAGAGGGGAGGAAAAAGGGAGGGGAAGGGGAGGGGAAAACGTGGCAATAGTTAAACAGTAAATAAATAAATAATTATTTTATTTTTTTGTTTTTTTTTCTCTCTCTCTCTCGTATACGTAACTTATTATCATTATTAAAACGATTTTTTCACTGCGATTATTATTATTATTATTATTATTATTATTATTATTATTATCATCATCTTTTTTTTCCAGTTTCAATCCGGTAGCAAAGTTTTCGCCGGATGTCTGCTGAGTACTTCGCTCGCAATCGCATTTGCAATTTTCGAAAATATATTAAATATTTGCGGTTTTATGCTTTCGAATATTTCGTGAGCGTTCGAATTGAAAAAATCATTTAATGCTTCACCTGGAAAATACAAAAACAAAATGGCGTCGGTAATCATACGGGGGGGGGGGAAATAAAATGGCGGCGGAAAGGATGATGATGATGACTATGAAGATGACGGTTACAAATTTTCTCGCTGTTTACTACATCGCTTTCGATTATTTAAATTCTTCAAATAGTAATTTTAAAAAAATTTTCCATTATGACGTCACACGACACACGCGACACGTGTGACGTCTCGATTTGTGACGTCACGAAATAAAAATAAACACGTTTAAAAATTCGTTGGATTTATTTTCTTTCTTTTTTTTCTTTTCCCACCCATCTTCTCAACCATTTTTTTTTTAAAACGGCTTTTTTGCGAGTTATCCATAACGATAATGATAATGATGATGATGATGATGATAATAATGATGATAAATTAAAATATCATACCAATTTTATTATCGCCGTCAATGAATTCGTTAAAGTGTGCATTTATATCACCGGGTAAAAGTACCATGTCGCATTTTTCAACGGTAAAATAAGACAAACCGAATTCGTTTGTTTGCAATCCTAAATGCACGATCAATACTGTTGACACGTCGGTTAAATTAAATGAAAAATCACCTTGACCGGAAATGGGAAAAAAATAAATTCCACCTTTTGAATTGAATTGTCCACTCGTGTCGATATATGGGATTTTCATTGATATTTCAAATTTATTTTCTATTAAATCCGATCTAAAATTAATAAATCAATAAATAAATAAATTATGACATAATCATTTTCTATAAATAAATAAAATTTATTTATTTATTTATTTTTTTTTTCGGCGCGAACCTTGAATTTTTTTACTTTCCCTATTTATTTATTTCCTATATTTTATTTAAATACCGTAAGATGGCGCGTTCATGGAATTTTCCATGATCCTCGTAAATAAGGAAATTAATTTTAATAAGTCCTTTAAATAAATTAATAAACTTATGTATGTACATACATAACGTACCTGACGGAATTAATTATTAATTTATTAAAACCGTATATATTTAAATTTTTTATATCGACGTTTAAACTTATATTTCCGGAACCTTTTTCTATTTCCAGGTATGGTATTTTTATCGGGTCTATGCTTGGTAATACGTATTCGCTCAAACCTGAAAAGCATTTAATCATCATTATCATCATTATTATTTATGATTTTGTCATGGATTTTTACCGGAATTGACGCTTTTCATAAATTTTTCCAGAGATGATTTTATGCAATCGTTTATTTTTTCATCTTTCCTATGACAGACGTTTAAATATTTCGCTGGAAAAACAACAATAATAATAATAATTATTATAGGATAAGAAGAGTGAGGTGGGGGTAAATGACGTATGGTACGTAGCCTCACCCACGACGTCGATGCTTATATATATAAGTATAAATAATAATAATAATAATAAATACTCACGTTCCGTGACGAGTCGTAATTTATCGGCACCGATAAAATCAATTTCCAAAGATCGAACGTCGATCGATAAAATTAATAATAATAATAATGATGATAAAATATTATATAATGAAAAGTTCGAGAGTTGGAAAAAATTCGTTTTGAATTTTCCATAACAAACCGCGGAGAACATTTTCGACTTTTAAAAAAATTAACTAAAAAAAATTTTACGTTATGTACCTGAAATGATAATAATAATAATAGAATAAGAGGATTTTAAAAAGAAAAAAAACGCGTCGGAAAATTCGTCGTTTTTCTTAACAAAACACACATACACACACGCACACGGAGAAAACAACCGAAAACAAACAAAAATGATAATAAAAAAAAATATGAGGAAAGATGGCGTTCGACTAGGTTTAATTCAAGTTTTTTTAAGGTAGAACCTACAAAAAAAAGCTCGTGGAATTTTTTTTTTACTAAAAAAAAAATTTTTTTTTTTCACTCACGTCGATTCAAGGGCATCCCCCCAAGGTTTGTTTATAATTTTTTTTTGTTTTTCCAAACGAACCAATCGCGAATAAAACGTGCGAGTTTTCCAACCCGGAATTTTTTTTTATTTCAAACTCTATAGTGAGTTTTATTATTATTAAAAAAAAAAATAATAATAATTTTTACAAGAGAGGTTTAACACGCTCTCGTACCTGCCCTCCTTCCCCCTCTCTCCCCTCCCCCATTTCAATAATTACGCATGCGTATTGTAAGTTTACAGAAAAAAAATAATTATTATTAACGCGTACTATTTTTTTTTTTTATCCTCTTATTTATTATTTCCAAGCGTGAAAACATTTAAACCTTTTATTATTATTATTAATTATTGTAAACACCCGATGATAATAATGATATTAAATGGCGGCGTTTGAGAGAGGGGGAAGAGGGGGGAGAGAGAGAGAAAGAGAAAGAAAAACAAATTAAATTTTTATTATTGTGTTTACGTAGACTTTACGTCGAAATAAGTTTTTTTTTTTCTTTTCATTTAAATAAATATTTAAACGAACACGCGCGCGTTAAAAAATGATAATAATGATAATAATAATAATCATAATAATAATTAATAAAATGTAATGTTTAACTTACGTATACCTTTTTTTTATTAATAAAACGATGCGTAAATGAAAAAAAAAATTTTTTTTTTATTCTTCTTCTTCTTCTTCTTATTATTATTATTATTAAATTTATTTAAAGTTACAAAGTTTTATGAGGTCAAGTTCAATAGTAATAATAATAATAATAATAATAATAATAATTTTTATAGTCAATAATAATATTAATATTATTCTTGGAAGAAAATGAAAAACGCATTTTTTGTAAATAATATCAAAGCTCGCTCGTAAAAAATTTTGTGTGTTTTTTCGCCCGGTAAATAATAATAAATCTACGGATTGATAGAATATTTAAAATAAAATGACGTGGCATTAGCTAAAAAAAGAAAAAATAGTTATAATGATAATAATAACGTGAAGATGGTAAAAAAAAAAATGTGCAACGACGTGACGCGCGAGTCGATGATATAAAAAAAAATTTTTTTAGGCTTTTTGATGATTATGCCTAACGATAAAAACCTTGAAAATGTCAACAACAACAAAATTATTATTATTATTATTTTATTGGGGATCCGTAGTCTGCCAAAAAAACTATTACTATTATTATTATTTCAAATGCATAAACGAAATAAAATTTTTTTTTTTTTGCGAGTCGGGAAATCGATTTTGTCGGGTAATGGACCTTAAAAACGAAAAAAATTTGTTTTATTGTGTCTGCTGACACGACATTTTTAAGCACGTTAAAAATTTATATAAGAATAATATGTTAAAAACGTTCACGATAATATTAATAATAATAATAAATAATTTCGTAAAAAAAAAAAAAATTGTTCTTTAACCTGAAGAAGAAATTTTCTTTCTTTTTCCCTCCCCTCTTCTTCCAGGAAATTTATTCTGGAATCGATATAAAATAAATAAATAAATTGAGATAAATATCCAAGTCATAATTTTTTTTTTTTTCGGACCCCAACATCTCCTGGAAATTTTTTTTTTTAAATAATCGAACCTTGTGCGTTCTCTAGGAAGGCTGGAATTGTTTTCAAACCCCCACTAAAATTACCACAAAAATTACCACCACGCACAATTTAACATCCTCGCGAAAAAAATTTAATTTTTAATTTAGAATAATCAAATTCGTTTTGACATTTTACCCACCGTTTTATTATCATTATTATCACTAATACGTCTGGAGAAAAAAAAAATTCCAGGAGGTTTAAAAAGTACGTACGAAATTTTCTTTTTTTTCTTCAGCTTTTAAGTTTTAATATAAATTTCTTCCCCGATTTGTTTTTTTTTTTTACTTTCCCTAATAATTTCAAAATTATTATCAGTGATGATAATAATAATAATAATTTATACGCGTTTTGCGACAGCCCCCCCCCCAAAAAAAAAAAATATAAAAAAATTTTCATTTTACCTTTTAACGTTTGTTGTTTGAATTTTTTTTTTTCTCAAAAATTTAACCGAACGAACGTTTTAACCGCGGAAATTTTATTATTATTATTATTATTAATTAAATATCACGGTTGAAAACTTTTGAAAAGAAAAACGGAAAAACCGAATCGATTGTTGTTGTTAATAATAATAATCGAACTTTATTAATGACGATTGGAAAAAAAATAATCTGGAGAAATTAATTAAATTTTTTGAAAAAAGGTCAATTTAATTAACGCTTAAATGGATAGAAACGCGCGCGAACTTTGATTTCTATCTCTCTCTCTCTCTCACACTCTCTCTTTCCAATCTCTCTCTCTCTCTCTTTGCTCATCTTCGAAAAAAAAAAAAAACAATTGGCGTTTTTCAGGTAATAATAATATTAATAAAAAATTTTTTTTTTTTGCAAATACGCGACGTTCGACAATATAAATGCATTATTTATTATTGATAATAATAATAATAATTTTTTTTTTGTCTTCTGCGCATGACATGAAAATTAAACGAACGTTTATGACGTCATGATTATTTTATTATGATTGTAATTGATAAAAACCTTGTGACTTTTTTTATTTTTCTTTCTTAGAATTTCTCGTCACGAATTTACGATATATGTAAATAATAAACCGCCAAAAATTTTTTATCCGCGGCGTTTTTGTTTTCCGATCGACGTTGCCAAATGTACGAACGCACACGCGCACGTGATACACTTCTGCATCCTTACAATTATTATTATTATTATTAATAATTTCTCTTTTTTTTTTTTTATCATCAACAAATACAAGAAAGACTATCGTCGTCGTCATCATCGTCACTTAGATACCCAAATTATTATTATTATTATTATTATTAAATCATTTTATCAAATCGTGCTCGGTGATAAGATATCATCATCATTATCATCATTATTATTATTTGGCAGTTAATTTTTGTCATTTGATGTTTTATTTTAATAATTAATTTCGAAAAATTATTTCGCTTTCGAATAACGCGTTAAGAAAAAAAACCTGAACGAATTGGAAAATTAAATAACGTTGCAATGTTGCCAAATTTTAATTTATAAAAAAAATTTAAAGGGGTAAGTTTTTGTTGTTGTTGTTGTAACTAAAAAAACACACACGCGACGTTTATCCTTTTTTTTTTTTTTTTAAATTCAAGTATACGCGAGTTTTATAATATATATAATTATTTATTAATAATTTATTGACAATTAATTGATGTTATTAAGCGTCCTTATGACGTAATAATAATAATAATAACCTCGGCACGATTCTTAACGAACGAATCTCTCCCTATATTATTAAATCAATTATATAAAAAAAAAAATTTTTTTTTTAAATGAAAAAAAGATTCCACCGATGTATTGATTGGCTAACACGGATTGACGAGAAAAGTAAATCAGGTTAAAATTGACTAAAGGCAGTTTAAAAAAAAAAAAAAGGAAAAAAAATCGTTACGCAACGTAAATTTTATAAAAAAAAAATTAGGGCGTTCGGTGTGTATATATATATATAATTATAAAAAATGGCGTGATAATTGTTTTTTTTGTTTTTAACAGAGAATAACGATAAAGGTAAAAAAAAGGCAGAATGGGGAGAAACGTGATACAAACAAATCTTTTACAATGTAAAACGTGCGGTGAAATATTCGAAGTGTCACCAACGAAAATGACAACTCGAGAGGATTTATTAACAAACGAATTGTATAAAAATTGTCAAAAATGTTTGCAATCAATAAGAATGAATCAAATGAAACAAATCGGGGATACGTTTCAATCCATATTGATGTATTGTAAAAATCGTAATAACGGATGCGACAAAGAATTGCCATCTTGCGACATACACAATCACGAAATAAATTGCGAATATCGTCCGGTACGTTGCATATGGCATTTACAATGTGATAAAAAGGAAATAAGTTTTTTAAATTACCGGAAACATCTTGAAAAAATGCATCAACCCTATATAAAAAAAGTTCATTTGAACGAAGAATATAATGTCGTTATAAAAGCCGTTAAAGATCATTCCGTTAACGTGTCGTCCGTCGTTTGCGATGAAAAAAATCAATTGTATTTCACTAGGAAATGTTCGATCGACGTTCAAAAGGATTTGTTTATGGTTTGCGTTCATTACATAGGCGAAAGGGAAAATGCTAAAAAATATTTATACAAAGTTAAAATCAATCAAGGTATCGAATCCGCGAACGCATTTTACGAATATACCGCGTATTGTGGACCTTTCGTCGAAATCCCGAACTCTCCCGATGCACATTCGAATTGTGTCCTTTTACATCCTAAAAAATTATTTTTAAACGATGATTATTTAAACGAATTGAAATATTCCGTTACGATAAAACGTATCAAAGAACGAACGGAATCCAATTGAATTGAATCCGTTCAAAAAAAAAAAAAAAAACTAATCGCGACGCCTTACTATTTTTAAATTATGCTAAATGTATGCAAAATTGCATAAACTTTTTTATTTTTCATTTATTTATGTTTAATTATGTATTATTAATTAATTTTATGTACTTATTAAAATTACACATAAATACATTTATTTATTTTTACGTTAATATATGTATTTTTAATTTAATTAATTAATAAATAAATTTATTTATTTTTCATTACTACCATCATCGTTCATTTTTTTTGATTTTTTCTTTTTTTGTTACGTAAAAAAAAAATACGCGTGCGTTACGAACGCGTGCGTGTGCGTGTGTTTGTTTAAATAATAAAAGAAACATTTTTATTGTTAATAATTTTTTTTTTTTAAATTTTTATTTGTACTTTTACGAACAACAACAACCAACAACCTTTCCTAACCGTTAATACAAAAAAAAAATTTTTTAATACCCAAAAAATATTATTATTATTATTATTACGTAAAATCATAAGTTATTAAAAATAAATTAAAATAATAATTAAAAGACTGAAGTGGAAGAACACGGAGGGCGGGAGGCGGGGGCGAGAGAAATGGAAAAAAGTAGAAAATTTTATTTAATAATAATAAAATCAATAATTTATGTAATTTTTTTTTTGTTTGGAAACCGAAATGAAAAAATAAATAAAAAAAAATATATTTGAAATTAATTATTGATAAAAAAAATACAAATAATAATTATAATAATAGTAATAATAATAATATTAATTAAAAGGCATATAACGCGGAGTGTTTAATTTCATTTATCATCATTACTATTATTTATATAAATTTATGTGATAATTAAAAAAAATAATTTATTAAAATCACGATAAATTAATAATAATAATAATAATAATAATAACAAAAAACGTGGGAAAAACGTGCAAAAAAAATTAAAATAAAAACACCCGAACTAGGATCGAACCTAGTTTGTTTATGCCACGTGACTTATAAATACATAGAAAAAAAAAATTATAGTATTTATAAACATTAAAAAAAATACATAACAAACTACGTGTTAATTTACATAAATACATAAAATAATGATTTTATCTTTTTAAATAAAAATAAATATTTAAAAACAACCCTACTTGAGACTATATGAAAAAAAAAATGTTAGAGAGAGATAGAGATAGAGAGAGAGGGGGAGTATGGGGGCGGGGGTGTGCGTTTACGATGTTGGGAAAATTTCATCGAATGGAACTTTCATAAAAACGCGATTTGCAATTTCCGTCATTATTTTATCCCAATCTTTTTTTATGTACGGAAGAAGTTCTTTGTAAACGAGTCTCCAATTTTGATTGAAAAGTCTCAAAGCCGTTTTTGCTAGAAAATAAAAAAATGAAGACGTCAAAAATAAAAAATAAACACCCGCCGCCATATTTACAAAAAAAATTTTTTTATCCTTACACAAAGCTTCGTTTCCGCTAAATAAATTAGATGCGTAAACTTTCATATCACCGACAACGGGTTCCATGTCTAAATTATTTATTTTCATGTATCTTACACCGTCAATAATAACTTGGGATCCGGTAAATGCCCACGTTGCCTTTATGTTACCTGTAAAAATTTTCGTTACGTCACTTCCGTTTTTATTTATTTACATAATATGTATAACATCATCGCGACTCACTCATTGACACGTTAAAATTTCCCTTTCCCCCAAATTCGGATTTGACAAATTTCCCTTGCAATTTATAACGTCCGTCGCTTTTTATTTTCGGTATGAAAACATCTATTTCAAGTCTAAAATCGTCTAAATCGTCCAGGTAAGTTCTGGAAAAAGGAAAACGTTATCGTTATCGATTTTGACATTTCACGTATTAATGATAATGATGATGATAAATTACCTGACGTTTTGATATTGAAGATCTCTTAAACCGTATAACGAATAATCTCTTATACCGAATTTAGCATGGATTTGTCCATTGTGATATTCCAGTAAAGTTTCTTCCAGTTTAAAAGGATCCAATGGTGGAATATCCAAAGTGGGTATGCCTAACGACAAAAAATTTTCCCGAGGTTTAAAATTTAGATCGGGGTGGAGGGGGGAAGAAATGGCGGAAAAATGTAATAAAAAAAAAAACTTACCTTTTACCATGTAAGGATGTAATTTTTTCAATGAATTTAATACGCAAGAATCAATATTGGGTTCATCTCTGTGACAAACTTGAATGTAAGTCGCTGGAAAAAATATAAATAATAATAATAATTAATAAATAAAAAACTGGAAAAAAAATAAATAAATTTGATTTGTTATATTAATTTATTAAAAATAAAGATTTTAAAAAGTTCATCGACTGATAAAAAATTTCCAGTTTAATTACTTTCTCAAGTTTTTTTTTTTTTTTAAATAACCGGTTGAGACCCATTGCAAACATTTTTTTTTTTTTTTTTTTTTTGATAAACGACCTGATAAGAAAAAAAAGTAACAGATCTTATAAGTATTATTATTATTATTAATATCGATCGATTTATCGATTTATCGAATCGTTCTGGAAATTAAAATAAAATAAAAAAAAATATAATTCGTTGATAAGAAAAAAATTTTATTTAAAAAAAAAAAAAAATTATTATTAATCTATACCAACTTCCCCTCCCCCCTTTTTCGGGATTAATAATAATAATAATAATAATATTTACCGGGTAATAAAATTACGTGAATATATTCATATCGTTAGGGTCAAAGTTCACGTAAAGTTCTTATTAATATTATTTAATTATTAAGTTTTTTTTAAAATTTTATTATTAATTTTTATCCCCCCACCCCCACCATCTCTCCCCAATTTTTTGTTTTTTCTCCCACTCTCCCACTCTCGAATTTTTTATTTATTACCCGTAATTATTATTATTATTTTAATAAAAAAATTTTTAATTGCAATTTTAAAAAAATCCATTCAACTTTTCGAATAATTCTCCTTATCCTTATTTATCAAATTATTATTATTATTATTAATATTATTATTTTCACTTTTGTACGCAACGAAACCTTCTAAGGTACTCGTCGGAATTTTTTTAAGGCATTCATTTCAGGTATTATTATTACTATCATCATCGAAAATCATCCACCCCGTGAAAATCTCGTTCGATAAAAAATTAAATAAATAAATAAAAGTTTTGCAATTTTTTATTTATTTACTTATATTTGATTTTAAATTATTCATTTTTTAATTAATAATTTTTTATTTTATTTTTTTATCGTTCAAAAAAAAATGGCCGCTTTATGATGATGATGATAATAGTGATGATTAAAAATTATTCGTTATCGTAATTAAACATAACCGTAATTTAAAAAAATTTTTTTTTTCTCCCCAAGTAATGATTATTAATTTTTTTTAGAACGTGTTTGCGTGTGTGTGCGTGTGCGTGCGTGCGCGTACACGTGTAAATTAAAAACAATTAAAATTAAAAACGGAAATTTGAAAAAAAAAAAATTTCGTAATAATTGACGTTGATTATATATTTATGTAGATTGATAAGGAAAAAAAAATTTCAAAATTCTTTCATTCATTCATTCATTCAATAATAAAACTGGAAATGACAATAATGAAAGAAATTATGATAATAATAATGATGATAATAATTAATTAAAATCATCGCGTCCCTGAAGTATAAAAAAGTTTAGAAAAGCAAGTTTTTTAGTCAAAAAAAAAAAAAAAATTTTTGTTAAAAACGCGACCCGAGGGATTCGAGTTTTTTTTTTTTCGAAATGGAAAATTTAACTATCGTATCTTTCCACTGGGGGGCATTTACACAAAAAAAGTTTTTTATTTGTAAAAAAACAACAACAACAACGACAACGACACGACAATCCATTAACCGGTAAAAATAAAAATAAAAAAAATGTCGTGGTTTTTTTCCACGTTCGCCTTGGTTTCCGACACGTGGTTTTAACGTGTTTTTATGAAATCCAAAAAAAAAAAAAAAAACTCGCGAGGAACACAACCAAATAAGTAAAATCATCTTGACATTTTCTCCAGTTCGATTTACACTCACTGGAGAACGTCTATTTTGTTTTTTTTTTTTTTTTGTTATCGTAATAACGAGTCTGCTTTATAAACAAACAAGTAAATAAATTCTAAAGGGTCAATGAACTTTTTAAACACCCTCAAGGTTTTTCTATTCCGGGAAAAAAACAAAAACAAAAAATTTTCCTAGAATTTTTAAAAATTCTTAGAAATTTCTTTTCTTACGATTCTCTCCTTGCCCCATAAATATTAAATTAATTCGTGTTTGTTTTATGTATTACGTTAAAAAAAATTACCCTTTTTCATCCCTTCCCCACTACCCCTCTACCACCCTCCTTTCCCGCCCGATTAAAAAAAAAGAAAAAAAATTCACGACGATTTTCACTTTCACCTTTTCGAATAATCAATTTATTATCGTTATTATTATTATTATTTTCATTTATTTACGATTGTTTATCACTGAAAATTTTCTTTTTTTTAAAATTACCACGTAATTTATTACTCTATGTCATAGAGTAATAATGAGTAATTTTTTTTCGTAACGAAAGAAAAAAATAAACAACACACGATCTTATTAATTTTT